TGGCCTCACTCTTATGAAAGTGCCCAGGTGGTGGTGATGGGTCTGTAAGTCACAGCATGGATGAGACTTTAACCTTCCCTCCCAGTTTTTTAGCAAGCACTGGCACTTGACACAGAAACAAGCTGGAATAGGGCGACCAGATTTTTCCAAGCAAGAAACTGGGCTACATGTCTTGGGAAGGAGGAGACAGTGCAGTTCATGGCCAGGAGAGCGTTCCTGGGGAATCAAGTTGGGGTACACGGGATGGCGATGGGTGAGGACTAACTGGGAGGCTGGACTGGCCTGCAAATGCTAGATGATTCCTTGATTCTGCGGGATGTCTGGTGACTCATTGGGTGGAGGAGGTCAGGTCTGCAGCATGAGACGTCTGGCTGTGGGGAGGTCTCTGGTGCACCCAAGCTCAGCCACCCTGCTGTGAGTGTCTCTGGCTCAGCTGACCACCAGCTCCTTCAGGTCGCCTAAGCCTGTGATGGGGAGGGGAAAGGGGAATGTCAGATTTGTCAAACTGACAGAAACTCCAGGACAGGCCCTGAATCCCCACTCGTCAGGCTCATGCACACACACCCTAAACAGTCCTCTTAACAACCAGCAGTCGATGTCATGCGGGCCACAGCCTTCCTGCTAGAACCCCACCAATGGTCCCTTGCATATAAATCCATGATATGCCCATATCTTGAATACTTCATGCAGATGTGGTCACCCCATCTCAAAAAAGATATATTGGAATTGGAAAAGGTTCACAAAAGGGCAACAAAAATGATTTCAGAGTATGGAATGGCTGCCGTATGAGGAGAGATTAATAAAACTGGGACTTTTCAGCTTGGAAAAGAGACGACTAAGGGAGGATATGATTGAGGTGTGGAGAAAGTAAATAAGGAAGTGTTATTTACTCCTTCACATAACACAAGAACTAGGGGTCACCAAATGAAATTAATAGGCAGCAGGTTTAAAACAACCAAAAGGAAGTATTTTTTCACAATGCACAGTCAACCTGGGGAAACTCCTTGCCAGAGGATGTTGTGAAGGCCAAGACTATAACAGGGTTAAAAAAAGAACTAGATAAGTTCATGGTGGATAGGTCCATCAATGGCTATTAGCCAGCATGGGAGGGGATGGTGTCACTTGATCATTATCTGTTCTGTTAATTCCCTCTGGGGCACTTGGCATTGGCCACTGTCGGAAGACAGGATACTGGGCTAGATGGACCTTTGGTCTGACTCAGTAGGGCCGTTCCTATGTTCTTATGCATCACAGGCTGATGAGTTTTTCCTCTGCATTCTGCCTGCCAGTCAGGGATCTATCCCTCCCCTCCTTGTGGGGGGAGGGATAGCTCAGTGGTTTGAGCATTGGCCTGCTAAACCCAGCGTTGTGAGTTCAATCCTTGAGGGGGCCACTTGGGGATCTGGGGCAAAATCAGTACTTGGTCCTGCTAGTGAAGGCAGGGGGCTGGACTCGATGACCTTTCAAGGTCCCTTCCAGTTCTAGGAGATGGGATATCTCCATTAATTATAATTATTCCAGCCCTCGACTGGAGACTGGAGTTATGCAAAAACACTTGAAGGCTAAGCTGGCCAGGTCCACCCTATGAGCTAAAACTGTAACGACAAAGGCCCAATAAGCCACCTACATAGGGTTAAATGTTCCTCACGTCTTTGTCCCTCACTCACTGCCTCCTTTGTGTGTGCTGGGTCACTTAGCTAGATCATTTCAAATGGGTCCCTCCTTTCCTCCTCCAGCCCCAACCTGGGGCTGGCTCTGTGAGACTCATAGACTCATAGACTCATAGACTTTAAGGTCAGAAGGGACC